TCATTCGTTCTTGAGAATACAGCTTGCACAAGAGGTTGGAAGATGCAGACTCTGCAACTCTTTCCCAAGTGTTTTGGCATTTCCAAATCTACATACCTTTGTGTTGTATATGTACTGCATCCTTTTTCATTTGTAAGTTTATTTGGCTTCACGGTTTGGTTTCTTATTATTTCAGGTCACAATTTCTCCTTAAGCATGTCTCCCTGCCTCTGACCATCTTGCTTTTAAATGCTTGAACTGTGAACAGGGCCCAAGAGAGTAGGAGTTCCAGCTGAAGCAGAAGTCACACCCCTCTGCATTTTGTAAAACTGCATTCAGAAATCATCCATTTAGTTTGTTCTTCATAGACAAATATGTATCGCTAATACTTTTCTTTGCATATGTAAAGCCAAAGTCAAGTAATTTTAAAGTAACTGATGGTTTTGTTTAAGTTTAAATGAGCAACACAATCTTGCATTAATTCTTACTGTGGAAAAAGTATGCAAAATGTTACATAAAGACTAGACTATATGCCATGATCCTCTCTGCTTGACTTGCGTTGCGTGACTGACAGGAAGTGTGCTGTAGCGTGACCAAAGGGAAAGTTAACTATTTTTGGAAAGTTTTATTTGGTAAATAAAAGCATGAAAATCAGTGAGGCTCAAAGTAGAGGCACCATAATACCTGCTCATTGAAGATTATTCTAAAACATAAATTGAACTTAAGGCAGGGAATGAATAATATGAAATCAGCTTATTATGGCAGCATATAAAAAAGACATACTTGAAGCATATCCACACAATATACCTTTTGCAGTTTACTTAAACAAGGGATAAGGGAAACAAAAATATGGGAAATGATGGATCGTCTGTAACTATTTCTTGTGGACCTTTTATGTTCTTGAGTAATCACAGAAGTGTTAAATTTGTTAATTTACAGAAAATTGTGGGAAGATTTGTTCCCAGTTCCTTTAGAGTCCAAGGTGACATTTTGCAGAGAACCAAAATATGCTGATTTTTATCAGGAACATTTTGGATGTAGTCTTGTTTCTGATTAATATTGTCTTGATTGCCTAATCAGTTAATAAATTAATCAAACCTAATATGTTTTGTGGGTTTTTCTCAACTTTGCATATTTGTGTCTTCATTAGAGCCTGACTGATATTTTGGTCCCCTGATATTATCAGCTGATATTGGCCTATTATACAGTATATACACTAGCCAGACACTTCATTAGGTACAGCTTGATAGTACCAGGTTTTACCGTCAGAACTGCTATAATTCAACATGGTGCTGTAAACATTCCTCAGAGGTTTTGGTCCAAACTGACATCATGGCGTTAATTGCTGCAGATTTGTCTGCTGCACATACGTGACAGCAATCTCCCATTCCACCACATACCAAAGGTGCTCTGTTGGATTGAGATCTGGTAACTGTGGAGACCATTTAAGTACAGTGAACTTATTCTCATATTCAAGAAACAAGTTTGAGATATTTTGAGATGATTTGAGCTTTGTGACACGTCATGTTATCCTGCTGGAAACAGCCATCAGAAGATGTGTGGTGGTCACAAAGGGATGGGCATGGTAACAGTACTCTTTAATACAGTTTAAATGATGATCGTTGGTAATAAAGGGCCCAAAGTGTATCAAAAAATATCCCCCACACCTTCACGTCACCTGGCCTGAACTGTTGATGCAGGGCAGGATGGATCTGTGCTGTAAATAGCGTTGGTGGATAGTTCAATAATTATCTGAACCAAAAAATCTAGTATTGGTCAGGCATCAGAATTTCTATCAAAGCTAAACTACAGGCATGAAAAGGGGTAACACTTTAGGTTTTCATAAAAAACACAGTAGCTGTACTTGGAGTGAACTCAGTCTCTGTAGACGTGTTCTGCGACAGGGGGGTGATGTGCGATTGATCTGATTGAAGGAAAGATTGTCACTTTTTATGGAAATGAATGTTGTGTACCCACAGTATGTTTTAGAGCAAACACTGCTTTGGCTCAAACACTCATTAATAATGTCTTCCAGTGTCTACAATTACAGTCATCTGTTGATTTATTTTTGGCAGCATCCACTGACTCACTCATGAGATTTTTGCATATTTTAAAATTTAAATAAATTCTTGGAAAAATGATTAAGTGATTGACAGACCCGTTTGTGTCTGTGATCAGAGTTTGATTGACAAAAACAGCGAGGTTGGTACCTTAGGCCCACTATTTACGTGAATCAGTAAAATAACAGATTGGTTGATAATAACACTAATAGTTTTTTGAGTCCTCAGTCTTTGTGGACTAATACACCAGTACAAAGTATTTCCTGCAAAGTGCATACAAGACACTATGCTGAATGTAGGTTTTTATATGTCTGTCGCCCTTTTTCTCATTTCGTTCCATAATTTGCAGCTTTCGCGTTGTCTCGCTTTCATCATTGGCAGGATATGCATGACCATTGTGGACCGTGAGGCCACCGTCTCGCCGCTCAACATCTATCTGATCTCTCCACGCATCCCATTTCACTGAAGGTGCCGTGGTCGTCAGATGACGTGAAAAGAGATGAAAGTTCTTCACACTTGAACTTTGACGTTTCCTCAGGCGTCAATCAGCAGCTCATTTTGTGTGTGTGTGTGTGTGTGTGTATGCATGTGCGTGTGATCCATGGGACTGTTTGATGCATCATTTCAAGCAGAATAATATCTCCGTGCTATTCTTTTACTTTTCATTGCTTCTTTTTCTTTTACCGCATTCTGCTCCCATCCCCCCGTCTCCTTTCTTTTTCTCTCTCTCTTTCTGTCTCCCCCCTCCCCTCTCTTTTCCTTGAGTATTCTTTCCTTTCAGTCTCTCCTCCTGCCCCCCCATCCATTTGCTCATCTCCTTGTCAGTCACCTTCCATCTCTTTCTTTCTCTCACCGTCTCTCTTCTTTCTCCTCTCTCATGTAGCACGCTCGCATCCGAGACTGTGCACGAAACAATCTTCCAACACTTTCCCATACTCGTAAACCTCACTTGATCAATGAGAGAGTGAAAAGATACAGAGGGGAAGGCGCAGGGATGCATGGATGAAACACAGAGAAGAACTCAGCTGCAGATACAGGAAAAGAGACAGACAGGGATGTGCAGAAACAAAGATGAAGAATGACACACAAAGAAAGAAGAAAGGAGGGCGAGTTGCTTTGGTGGAGCCATAATTTCAGACTGATATGATGCTGATCTTGTTTTTGTTGTTGGTGTGTGCGTCTTTTGACTTTGATGTGACTTAACCTATTGATTACTGGACTGTCAAGGAACCTTGTGCATCAGTGCTGCGCCTGTGTATGTGTGTGTTTTTAAACCTACTGGCCACACGTGCTCATTTGGCTGCAAGAATATTTGGTTTGTTTAGTGTCTGCTCTGTGTTTGCGCTGGTGCGACCAGACTCGCTACCGAAACTGTGCTGAAGACTAAAGAGAAGGAGGCGGAGGGTAGCGTTAGCTCCGCCTCCTCACATCCCTCACGTATAAATAGGAGGCAAACATAGTCTATTCTCACTCAACACTCGCACTGAAGAATGAGATCCTTGAAGCACCTGAAACCTCACAGCAGGAGGAGCGTGGTGAGTTCACTGGCTCTCGCTCGTAGCATGTTAAGTGGTAGTTTGCTGAGGTGGTGGGCAACGTGGGTTTGATCCCGGCAAAGCTGAAATGATACAGATAGAAAACTGCCATCAGAGATGCTTTGATTGTATCTGGTTTTCTTTTGTTTGTAAAGTTCCTTTCTGTGGAGTCTTTTTTATTCTAAATGAAGAGCTGCCACTTGCATTAACTTATCGCAATCTCTGTTTGAGCTTTTAAAAAAAATCTTTCTCCCAAACTCTTCTTCGGTGTCATCTTTTTGTCTTCTTCACTTTTTGTTTTTATCTTTCATTGAGTGTCTGGCTTTCATTTTGGCATTTTCCTTTCTCCTTCTGTCTCCTGGTTGCTCACTGCCTCTCCCTCCCTCCCTTTCCCTCTGTCTCTACATGTCTTTCTTTTTCTTTCTTCCTCTTGCTCTCTTTTGCCTGCTGCCTCACACTCACCCTCTCACTCTTTCACTCAGCCCTCTCCTCCTCCCCCTCCCTCTCTTATGTGTGTGTCTCTCTCTCAGCCTTCCTCCTTCCCTCCTGCCCACCCCCTCCTTCTCCTTATCTCTCCTTCACTCTCCCTTTACCTTACATTTTCTCCTTTTTTTTCTTTTTTTCCTCTCCCTCCTCCCTTTCACTAGACTCTTGCATGCTCTAAGCTCTCACTCGCTCACTCTTTTTCCTGCTTCTCTCCCTCCCTCCCTCCATCTCTGTCTCTGCTTCTGTTCTCACTCTGCTCTCCAGTGTTTTTGTCTTATCTTGTGCTTTTCTATTCTTTTTTCATTTCTTAATCTTGCTCAGTTTTCATTCTTTTCTTTTCTTTTTTCTTTCTTGCACTTGAATGTGTGTTTGTGTGGAGATCAGTAGGCCATCTAATCCACCACCACACACACACACACACACGCACGCACGCACACGCACACGCACACACACACACACACACGCGCACATCATGCATGGTTAGCACGTTGGATTAGGATGCTGTCTTTCATAGTTCCTGTTTCTCCAGATCTGAAGGTTTGTTTTTGGACACTGTTCATTCAGGTTGACTACTTGTACTAGGAAGAGTGATTTGGGGATAGATTTGCCTCAGTGGGAGGAAATGTCTGCTTTTGCGCATCCTTTCTAGTGATGTAATAAACAGCTCCTGAAAATCAAAATTGTTCTTACTTTTTCTCCTCTCTGTCAGCAACTAGCTCAAATAATCTGATCAGATGAGTCTCACCACCTTTTTTTCTTCAGTAGCTCATTTTTAATGGAGTGGAGGATGGTGCACAGTAGTTCACATTGAAAACATAACTTCCTGCCTTTATAAAAATTTGCACTGAGCTTGATTTTTGTTCCCCTCTACAACACTTGGCAATAAAAAACATTAAAATGCTGATCTCTTTACAAACAGTTTGTCTCTTTCCTGTTCCAGGAGGAGGCGAGCCGGCGCCTGGGTAGATGTGAGCCCAAGGTAATGGCCAGGCTGGTGGACATAGGCACACAGACAGATCCAGTAGTTGTGCTGTCCTTGGCCCAGGCCGCCGTGCTAGGTCTCATCTCCCAGAATGAAGTATTCGGAGCTACCATTGCACCAAACGGCTTCTACACTGGTGAACCAAAAGAGTCCCCTGCACCCCCAGTAGACGGAGTTGACTACGAGTACGCAGACCAACTTATCGGCGCCAACGGAGATTATCTTGGAGAAAACTTGGGAGAAGACGGTCAGATGCAACCAAGCTGCAGCCAGCGGCGGTGGCAGCAGGGGCCGCCTCAGCATCCAGATGGGAAAATGGTGGTCCCCGATCGTCATGGCCTTCAAGCAGGTGACATGTCCTCTTCCCACGTGAAAGGGGAAGGGATGAACTCTGGAATGTCCTCCTGTGTCCACATGCTGAACAATATGGCTCCCAGAGGTGGTCTGGTTCAAGTAGATCCGGCCACCCTGAGAGGCACCAACAAGAACTGTGCAGAATGTGAGCGGGAAGCTACAAACCAGCAGCAAGCCAACACACATGTCCACCCTCCTCCCCCCCAGGTGGCCCACAGGGGACCGGAGCAGGGCCACAGAGGACTGCAGGCCCAGCGCCCGATGGGGGGCCACGGTCGAGGTGGTAGAGAGGATGAAGAAGAGGTAGAACACCAGGGGAACACAATGATGAAACCCACACAGCAGGAGGAAGCTATCAGCAGCTACTTCCAGACCAGTGAAGTGGGAAGCTACGATTCTACAGAGATGGGAATGGGGGGCGAGTATGAAGACAGCAGCCAGAGTATGATGTGGACAGACGGGAGTGCGGCAGGGCAGCATCCCCAGCCTCCACACCCCCAGCCTCCACGTAGACACGGTGGCCGTAGAGTAGACCGGCTAGATATCAACATCCAGATTGATGAATCCTATTGCGTAGACGTGGGAGACGGTTTGAAACGCTGGAAGTGTCGCATGTGTGATAAATCCTACACCTCTAAATATAACCTGGTCACACACATCCTGGGCCACAACGGCATCAAACCGCATGCCTGTCCACATTGCGGAAAGCTTTTCAAGCAGCCCAGTCACCTCCAAACCCATCTGCTAACCCACCAAGGTACGCGGCCTCACAAGTGCACAGTCTGCAAGAAGGGCTTCACCCAGACCAGTCACCTGAAGCGACACATGCTGCAACACACCGACGTAAAGCCCTACAGCTGCCGCTTCTGCCGCCGTGGCTTCGCCTATCCCAGCGAACTGCGAGCGCACGAGGTGAAGCACGAACGAGGCCGCTGCCATGTGTGCTCGCAATGTGGCATGGAGTTCCCCACCTATGCTCACCTCAAACGCCACCAGACCAGCCACCAGGGTCCCCACACCTTCCAGTGCACCGAGTGTAATAAGTCTTTCGCCTACCGTAGCCAGCTCCAGAACCACCTCCTGAAGCACCAGAGCCCGAGGCCTTACACCTGCTCCCAGTGCGGCCTGGAGTTTGTGCAACTCCACCACCTACGTCAGCACTCGCTCACCCATAAGGTATCTGACTGCTCAAGTTGCACACATGCTGTAAATGTTACCTGTAGATCAGTATTCAGCAGAGAGGTTTTTTTTTTCTTTTGGCTTGTACAAAAATATTGAATGCTTTGATTCTCTTTTTTTTAATAGAGAGTCAAAACAAACTAACATAAAAAAGATAATTTGCATCTGCAGTTCATATATAATTCACCTTAAGCCTTGGGTGTAGTTAACAGATACGAGCATCCACCTATCTGGCATCCTTTGTTGTCTTTGTCAGATTCATCTTGTTACAAAAACACATGATTTTAAGGTCAAAATAGAATCAACGTATCAGTCTAATATAAGGAATTTAGCACCTGGATTTAGTATGCTTATAAAAAAATAACAGCTGGTAGAGGCTCGAGCCCCCACGTGCAACCACGAATTGGATAAGTGCAAGAAAAAAGATGGATGGATGGGAAAAAAGAAACTATTCCATCAACATGGTAATGCTAGACTTTTCTGTGTGGCTTTTTTTTTCATTCATTTGAAATCTTTAATAATGTAGTGCCAACAAGTCACGATGAGGAAATGTATTTTTCTTTTTTATATTGAGTCACTTTGAGTGGTTAATTGCCCAGTGAATAGAATAAACTCCAGGTGGGTCATAGAAACAAGACGAAAATTGAGTTTCTAGCCTTGAATAATTTTTTTTAATGGCAACAAAACCAAGTCTGAGTTGTTAAGCAAATAGTATCAATTCTCATGTGAAATATGTTTTCGTTGATGCCATTTTCCCTGTGTAAATGCTGGTAAATCTTTGCAAAGGCTTCATCAGCAGTTAGAAACACAGCACTTAATCAAAATGGTGAAAAATCAAAGGAAATTAGAAGCATAGTAGAATTATCTGGCAAATGTTGCATTTTTAGAAAGACCTTCAATCTCCTTGTCACGCTTTTTCAACCCTTGCTGTTTCCCACACTTTCACACAGGTGGGGAAGAGAGAGATGAAGGTGCGTCGGATTACCTTGTGCTTGTATTTGTGATCATTCTTGGTTATTCTAAAATCAGTTCCTTTTGAATGATACTTTTTTTTTCCCGCCCCAACTTTTAGTCATGCCTAGTGGGTGAAGGAATAGAAGATAGCTGACAGATAGAAATCCCACACGGTGACAAATGAAAATGCTGTGTTGCTAGGGACGGGCTCAAATGTGCTTTCTACTGGGGCAACAAAAATCCAAAGCCACGTTCATCATCAAACTGAAAGTGATGAGAGCAGTGAATGTTCTCAGTGGAGAGAGAATATTCTCTTTTGTGGCTTGTTTGAGCTGGTTGTCTGTTCACTGCTCCCCCTGGTGGACAACGTCAGCTCAACCCATTTGCCGTGCAGACAGTGGGCGGACGGACAGTCTGCCAGATTTGTCTGCTTATACAAACACTGTCTCTCGACCCACTAGTGTCCCGTAATACATATTTGTTCCTCGCAATAGCCTTGAATCCGCTCATTCAGTCGCAGGTTTTTGTCTACTGACACTGACTGCAGAGTGGAGTGCAGGAGGCAGCAGCACATTCATTGAGACAGGCCTCAAGGCCTTAGATGACAGTTGTCTGCTCCTGTGACCCACTGCATGTGTTTGAGAACGTTACAGCAGCTGAATAAAGATGATTCAAAGGGCCTTTTTCCTGTATTCTAGTGATCTCCTTTGGTACACCTAAAATGGCTGCCATAGATTTTGATACGGTTGGAGGAATGAGCAATAACTTGCAGGCAGGATTAAAATATTGCCCTGACATTGTATGCAGGATGGTGACTCTTTGGCCACCCTGTTTTACATGCATGTTATACTCTTGCTGTTGTTTTTGTAGGTAAAGTTGTATAATTTAGTTGTTGTTTCAGACAGATACTCTTGGATCTGTATCAGTGAGAGCCGATGTCTTTACTTAGGTCATCTTAAGCACACAGCTCTGTCTGTGAGCACCAAAGCCCCGCCCACCTGCTCTGTGACCCTTCTGTTTACAAGGGCCAGCAAATCGGAAGAAGCGGCTTGTTTCAGACGCGTCCAGCGTGAGATAAATTTAAATAGTTTTGTATTACGACACATACAAAGCTATTTTATTATGGTCCAAGAATAACATTATTAGGCTGGAATAGCATAGGAGCATAACAGGTTCTCTCTCAGCCACATTAACCTGATATTAAAAGTGTTAAAAAAATATGCTGACTGCTCAGTAATTTTTCTTTCCTTTGGTAAAAAATGTAAGGAAATTTAGTCACAATGCAGATTTAAAGATAGCCTGGAATGTGAAACTCACACTGAATCTGAAAATATGTGTTTGGGTGTGTTATGACTTGGAAAAGCAGTGAGCTTTTAGACCCCACACGTTCAAATTAATCAGTATATCTGCCAACGTCTCACACTCTTGGAAGCAAACAGAACAGCTATTGCTGTATTTAACTGATGGACCTTTGTCTTCTCTTTGCACTCTGCAGGGGATGAAAGGCCACAAGTGTGACGTGTGTTCCCGAGAGTTCACCCTGTCTGCCAACCTGAAGAGGCATATGCTCATCCACAACAGCGTCAGGCCCTTCCAGTGTCACGTTTGCTTCAAGAGCTTCATCCAGAAACAGACCCTCAAGACCCACATGATCGTCCACCTGCCTGTGAAGCCATTCAAATGCAAGGTGCGTATTTTAACTCCAGACTGATAGCAGAGTGTGCAGGGCTGTTTAATTAACTGGCGTGAAATTAGTTGTGATGATGCATTTTTAGTTTCTATCGATTTAATTTAACGTAATAGGATTATGAGGGAGAAGAAAGTGCTCCTAGAAAGCATCTCATAAGCGTCTTATAACCTGATATCAGTACGTTTTCTAAAATTAAATGAGAAGAAAATCCCAGACACGAGAGGCCACTATCGCCAGGCAGGATGCTTTTATCACATCTGGTATAAGTTTTTTCTCTGTTTATATCAGTGCACCTAAATTATTTTTTTTGTATACTTTTTTTCCAGGTTTGTGGCAAGTCTTTCAACCGAATGTATAACCTTCTGGGTCACATGCATCTCCATGCTGGCAGTAAGCCCTTCAAGTGTCCTTACTGCACCAGTAAGTTCAACCTGAAAGGAAACCTCAGCAGGCACATGAAGGTCAAACACGGCATGGATGTCTCACCAGAAGGACAAGGTTAGGCTCACTTTTTTTTAACATTAATATCAACCTTACTTTCTATCATATGCATTTACTGTGAAAGGGATGGATCCTTATATTAAAAATGGCCAAACTTTCATATGGCATAGAACAACAAAAATGTTGCACCTTTTTTACAGTTATTTTTGCGCTAATATTGGATAATAATTTACAGATAAGCACATTAGCCAGGTATTTTATACTGTTTCAAAAGTAGATGTTTGCAGAAGGTTCAGTTAATGACGTCTGTGCATGTACAAGTAATCCCATATGAGCCAAAGCTCAGGCTTCGCACAGCTCCCAGTGCTGTTCCAAACAGTCTTTTTCCTACTCTTGAATCTGTGTCAGTGAGAGCAGATATCCCTAAAATGGTCATCTCAGGCACACAGCTGTGGCACCTCCTGTTCAGACCTTCTGTTTGCATCAGGCCACAAGTCAGAGGAAAGTTGCCTAAAAGCAAGAAGATCTGAAACAGCTTGTTTCAAATGCGGGGGACACCAAAGCCCAGTATAAGATAAATGAGGATTATTTTAAACTATGAATGCAAAGAAGAAGTAGAAATATGGAGCTGAAAGTGAGCTTTTTCTATCCATCTGCCCAACCACCTATTAATCTTCCATTTATACAAAGTCAGCTCATGGTGGCAGCAGGTTAAGCAGGCATTTTAAATGTCCTCCCTAGCAACACTTTCCAGTTCCTCTTGGCGGGTCCTGAGTCGTTCCCGAGCCAAATGAGGTATATCATTTCTCCACTGAGTTCTGGGTCTCACCCTGGGATCTCTTCCCAGTTGGGTGAGACCAAGCAACCTCCAGTGGCTTATTTAATACTTCCTCCACAGTCTGTCTCTAAGGTTAGGGAAGCTCGTTTTAGCCGCATGTATTTGCAACTTTATTTGGTCATCAGCCAGATCATGACCATAGGAGAGGGTTAGAACATGGACCGATCGGTTCAGCCTAAACGGTTAACTTTTGGCCCAACTCTCTGTTTACCATAACAGCCGGGAACATTCCTGCATTACTGGTGTCACCATACCAATCCAGTGCTCAAACTCACACTATGCCCATTTTGTTTTTCTTCTTTTTGCTGTAGACATGTATTATTTGACTAATTTCTGCTTGTTTTGAGTCTAAGACATAAGATTAATTCACTGATGCAATACGTTTGCAAGGTTGAGATCATTACATTGTCCAGGATTAGCTCAGAAGTGCTAAAAACCTCACTTTTCTAATAGATGGGAGTTGGCTGGATGAGCGTCATGCCAGGTTGCCAGGCCAATGTCAGTCAATGCCTTTTTGTATTTTCCAGAAGTTCTTCCAGAAATGGACAGCCAGGGGGAATATGAAGGACAGAACTTCACCTTTACAGCACCGGACAGTATGGACAATGGTGGCTCCCAAAACCTCACTAAACTCACTACAGCAAACATGGAGGACATGGAGGAGTATTACAATTTTGGAAAGGATACAAGCAGCTATACTACACCTTGAGTGGCGATGGACCAGAAAACTTTTTTCCTTTTTTTGTTTCTGAAGGCAGAAGGAAATTACAGAATTGTTGTTGAGACTTTGGGAGACTCTGGGAAAAGGGGTTTTCATTTAGTTTTGGCCTCCTTCCAGAAGCGCCAGACTTGGCGGACTATGATGGGAGGCCAGGGAGGAGGAGGAGTGCTTCAAAGGAGACGTTTCAACTCTGTTGCTTATAACCGAGACACTGAAACAGTTGACACGGTGTGAAGCTCTTCTTTTGGGATAACTACGCTTACCGGCTCAGACTCTCACTGGTGGACAGTGAAATCTGTATGTTGTGTGTATGTATCAGTTATTTGAAGAGGAAAAAAAAGAAAAAAGTTGCAGTTGCAGAGCCATTGGTTACATTTAATGTGATAGAAATTTGTTTGCCATTTTTGTCATTCACAACCAATGTATACCCTCATATTTTTGACTGAAAGTGCCAGATAGACATTTTGCAACTAAGCTTCCACAGTGTCAGCTATTTACTCACTGTATATCGAAGTTTTGATACATAGTCACAACATATTCATAGGTTTGAATGCTCTTAGTTAACAACTCCTAATTGTAGTTGCCCGTTCCTGCCTATTCCTCATTTGAAAGTTCAGACAGGTCTATCTTTAAGTGCATTTGTACTTTTTGCACATGACATTGTAGCCTTTTTTGTTTTCTTTTAAAAAAAAAAAAAATCTTAGTAGGGCACCGACTACCAAAGTTGCTACTGTCTCATGTCGGCTACAACCAGAAAACAAAACTGCCAGCATGTAAAGCCCTCTCACTGTACAAATGATTCTGCAACATGCAGTGTGTTTACCCATCTTTTTTTGTTTCACATGGTTTAGCTTTGCATTAATAATCTATCCCGTGTAGTGAATATACTGCTCTAGGTTTTGAATTACCGAGTGAACAGAACAAAAAGCACTTTTTCATCAAAACCTGTCATTTTTTCTGTGAAGGCGGTCTTCAGTAAGAGTGAATTCATTTGCCTCAAGGAAGAAGAGCTGGGGATGGAAGATAAAATCTTCCGACCCCTTATAAAGGCAATATTATTAAACATAGTTATGCTTTTTCAATCTTGTTTTGTTTTTTCTAAACTGCTGTTTACCTAAAATGGATATTTCATGGTTGTCAGTTCAAATACGAGTTGCAGAATGAGCAGTTTGAGCAGAGAATCAGCAGTTTGGGTTTTTATTTGTTGTTTGTAGTTTCAGCACTCTTAAATCCAGGGCTGGGTCCACTTTACTTTTAATTCAATTTATTCAGAAATATTTTCCCCATCATGGGGAAAGTAGCATGAAAAACAAGAGATGACACAAACCGAACCTGTGAATTTAAAAGATGAAAATAAATTATTTGGAAGTCGTGCTTGCTTAGATTTTGAAATGATTGAATTAAAAGTGGACTGACACTGGTCCTGCCACTCAGAAATTCTGTTTAGGGGAAGATGGATAACTCCCCCTGTCCTGCCATGCAGGTCAGCCTTGATATGCACACTAAGCCAGAGGAATGGTCTACTAGTTCTTTTTTTGAGATGAGAAATATTAAACTGAGACCTCATGGAAATTGACCATGAATTATTTAATAAAGGTTCTCTAGTTTAAGTGATGAAGACTGGTGTTTTAATCCATCACTATCTGGGGGATAATCCTTATGATCTTTTAGAGATACACCCACTTTTTGTGTACGACCTCAACAAATTTGACATTGTTTTATCATTATATCTCCAACATTTAGTTGGATTGCCACGAAAGTTGGTACGCGATACATTTTGGGTCAATATTACTGTGATTTGTTGCTGAAGAACAAGCACATTTGAATATTGATGGAGCATTTTAATTTTCTTGGTCTGCTGCATGGATGCTTTTGGCTTGGGACCAGAGAGCACATTTTGGGTTAAACCTGAGGTCTTTAACTCCCAGTAGAGCTTATGGACTGGTCAGCTGCTTCATGGGTGCTTTAAACTTCCATAAGAGCAAGATTGATCAATTTTGCTCAGAGATATAGCTCTTTTATTGCTGACGATGAAGTTAAGTTTTGTTTTGTTTTTTCTTTTTAAGACTTTCAATGGGAAGTTTTAAAGAGAAGTGAGATTAATCTAAATGTCAATAATCAAGAATTGTGTTCATTTTCTTTCTTTCTGCCTTGTAACAATTGGGGTAGAAAGAGCAAGAATCTACCATATTTTCTGAATAGTGTTTAGATCTGTTAATGTCTGACAACACTTTAAATACCAAAAATATTTTTGAATATGTCTGAATGCTCATGTTTCTTTAAATTTAGCAGTTTTAGATGAACAACCAGGCCTGGGATAAATCATTTCCTTCCTTAGGGATACATATAGATTCTTATACAGGATGAAAAGAGAGCAATGGTGAACACAAAGGAGGACAACCATGGCTGGGAGGTTAATTCAGGTAATGTGATTGGCGGTCTACCTGACATGAAATTGGACATGGAATTTTCCACTGCAGCAAACCTCAATTATTCTTTATTACAAACAGGAACAAACGCTAAACGCAGTCTGCAGGTGCACTTTAGCCAAGGATCAGTTTAAGATTGGAACAGTGAACCAGTTAACCCAGTTTTCTTTTCCTTAAAGAAATATTCATAATAAGCAGCAACATAATGCATAGACGTTACAGCAACCGACTGGATGACTGTGACCATGTCGACATCTGCTGGTCATACACCGTGGCTGCCAGCACAGCTAAAAGCTTTGCCAAAACTCCCATCAGGCTTGGCCCCCTGCTGGTACAACACTACTCTGCATTATGCACTGCGGGGTGCATATGATGGCTACAAAATGAGCATACAGCACCGCATGAATGCACTGCTGGACAGGAGCTCATGAGCAAGTGCATGAAATTAAAATGTGCAATAGAAATGCATGTGGTGGCTTTTCCTCAAATGATTCTGTACAGTCTGTGCTGAGAAGTGTTTTTTTTCTGTCCCAGGATAAAAGCACCGGCCTGACAAATGAACATGAAAAAGGCAACTCCACACACACGAAGTGTAATTAAATGACAAATTCTTTTTATAGTCATGCTGATTAAGTACAATGTGACGTTAACATAATGATATCCAAATTTTGCTATTCCCTGAAGGTATGCTCTAATTTAATGAGAAAGCCTGAAACATCTTTAAACTGTCCATAATAAATGAATATTACCATTAATAATTAATTATAAAATTTACTAATTTGTACAAATGTGGCAATAGGAAAAGGCAAACAAAACAAATATACAAATTTTAAATAAAGGCATGTATTGCGGAGCAGCTTCAAAACTGGATACAAAGATTCATACAAACAAGAGGGTAAAATGTTATTTTATACAAATCTAGAAACAGTTTTTGCCTGGTTTTTTTTGCTACATTAACAAAAATCTTCATATTGTCTTCTAAATGTTATTCAGTTGCCGAGAGCTTTAACGAGGTTGGTCTTTATGGCATCAAGGAAGTCTGTCGTGTTGACATAGTGTTCATTTAGCTTGCAGCTACAATGGAGAGGGTAGAGAGTGATTAGTTGACATAAAGTGTGTATTTATGTCTAAATATTAGAAAAAAATTCTACAATATGAATTATAAATGAAAATGTGATCTCACTTGGCTAAGCCATGGATGCAACCTGCAAGATCCTTGGTCATTATACCATTTTCCACCGTATCCACGCAGACTTTTTCCAAAGTTTGGCAGAACCTGGAATTTGTAGTGCAATAGCAGTTAAAATGATATAAAACTGTATAAATATATAATATATGTCAAATGAGTAGATGACACTAATAAGATATGTACTTTATCAAATCAGGATTCTCATCCAGTTTGCCTCTGTGCTCCAGCCCTCTGGTCCAAGCAAATATGCTTGCGATGGGGTTGGTACTGGTTGGTTTTCCCTGTAGAGCAATGTTAGCGTTGGTCATTTAACTCCCTGTAACCCATAACCTAACATATAGTCAAAGCTCTGAGTCTTTTCAGATTGATTCAGTGGCCCTTACTATCTGGTGTTCACGGTAGTGCCTGGTGACAGTGCCATGTGCGGCCTCAGCCTCGATGGTTTTACCGTCGGGACACACAAGCACTGATGTCATGAGACCCAGAGAACCAAAGCCTGGTACAAACAGAAACATGGAATTAGAAGGAAATCACATCAGCATAAAATCACGAAAACATGAACATCACGTCCAAATAATGCAACATTGGGAGCGCTGCAAACATACTCATTATCTAACCGTAGTCTACTTACCCTGAGCCAGAATGTCTGACTGCACATCTCCATCATAATTCTTGCAAGCCCAAACAAATCCTCCAGAGGACTTCAGGACCTGGGCCACCATGTCGTCAATGAGACGGTGCTCATACCAGATCTTCAGCTTGTCAAACTGCGGCTTGTAGTTTCTAAAGGAAAACAAAGAAATTCAGCGGCTTTGTAGATGTTAAACAACCAATAATAAAACATTTTGATGGCTCAGTGAATAATGTTTTTCTCTAGCACTAGAAACAGCACCAGGTCTAATACTCTACTGCTGTGTGTCTTACCCCAGCTGGTTACCCCAGCGACATGTACTGCACATTTCAGCTTATGGCCATGATGAATCTGATGAATGGCACAAGCTGAAACATGGGGGTTTCAATGAAATTAAGAACCTCCAAAGCAGGTGTAGCTTTCTCAGATACCTCTGCTCTGCTCTCTTTTTAATGTACATCTTACTTCTCAAAGATGTCCTGGAAGATGTCTTTAAAGCGGCCATCGTAGGCCTTGAGGATCGTGTTCTTGGTGCTCATGTACAGGGGCCACTTCTTCTGGATGGCATACTGGAAGCAGCTGTGAGCAAATCCACTGATGGACTGAGCAAAGAAAACATAGCACTTGCTTGATCAATAGCATCATAGAACATTAAATTAAAAACAAGGAGAGTACCCCAAAGTATCTTATCTTTCTCATGTAACCAAACCTATAAAGAAAGTTACTATTACCTCATCAGTGTTGTACATCCCCATCCCACAACCTCCTGCTGGGAAGTCATACACCTCCCACTCCTGCTTTGTGCTTCCATCAGCTGGGGTAAAAACAATCTTAAACTTGCCAGGCTGGTTAATGACAAAGTCTGTGGCCCTGTACTGTGAGACAGTCAGACACTGGTATGTGAGTCTGCACTGTTTTAAGTCTGGACAGAAAGAGAAGATGCACATTTGCCTTGTTGTTTTTTGTTTACCTGATCTCCAAAAGCATGCCTGCCAATTGTTATGGGTTGTGTCCATCCAGGAACAAGACGGGGAATGTTTTTGCAAAGGATTGGCTCACGGAAAACTGTGCCGCCTAAGATGTTCCTGATGGTCCCGTTGGGACTCTTCCACATCTTCTTTAGTTTAAACTCTGAGGAGAAAATATAATAAACACATATAATAAGCACAAGAAGGTATTAATTTGTGTAAATATAATAGAATTAAAATGCACTCAAATGCCTCTAATTCTAATGAATCTGTACAAAGTTAAAACAAGTCTGAGTCTAACTTACCCTCAACTCTGGCCTCATCAGGGGTGATGGTGGCACATTTGACAGCCACGTTGTATTTCATAGTCGCCAGAGCAGAATCTATGGTGACCTGGTCATTCGTCTGGTCTCTGTAGGGCAGACCCAGGTCGAAATACTTCAGCTCAACATCCACATTGGGCAGGATGAGCTGTGCAAGATGTCAATGTGTAAATTGCCTGAGGATAATTTGGCACAGAAACCACAAAAATGCATACATGCAGAGTTACGAGGAAACATTTTGATTCCTTGACACGTCAAGTGTCACCAAGTGTTTGATTTACCTTCTCTTTAATGAACTCCCATATGATGCGAGTCATCTCATCACCATCCATTTCCACGACTGGCTGGTCCACTTTGATACGTTTTGTTGCATCTAAAAAAAAATAATTAAAGTTACATTACTGTTGTATTAAAGCGTAAGAGTCTGAAAATGACAAGGGAAACGAAAGGTTAAGTTTGCACACTTGTGTAAATAAAAGGTCAAATTGTTTTCGATGTTAGGAGTTTATTCACAGCTTTGTATTACACTTCTTAATTGACTCCAAGTCTTCCAATTCGTGTCACTTTCGGGGAGCCAGCCACTGAGCTCTGAATATCTCTGAGCCGACTAGGCTTACTTTTATCATCTGAGACACCTGCATATCATTTTTACATTCCTGGCAGCTGGGTTTCACTGAGGCAGTGACCTTCGGATTATAAGAGTGCTCCGATATCATTTATTACCTGTCAAGCCCTTTTTGTACCTGACAACATGTGGACTAAAGTAGCAAAGCAGGCTGGCACCAAACTTACTTACACACATTATTTCTCCTTTTTATTCTTTTCACGTTAGAATACAAACTCTTTAGATTTTATTCAGCATGACCACACTGGCTTTTCTTTATGTTATTACCTTATTTATTTGTCATTTTGTAAAAATGAAACACCTCTGAATCACTTTTTGTGTAATCTTAATGTATGACTCACCCATGGATACTTGCCAAACAGCAACGACTCACCTGTTTCTATCATTTCCAGTCACTCGCTATAACTTATGACTCTGCCACACTGTGCATCTAATGTAACCACATTAATGTTATGAGCAGTTCATTCTGAGTCATTATGTTGTCGACGGTAAACTTACAGTTTCTCTGTTGCAGTCTGTGATGGCAGACGGCGGCCGGTGAGACCACTGCGGGGTTTTGCGACAGCGCAGCGGCGGCACTCCTCGACACCGTAGTCAGAGCTTTAAGGTATCCCGCCATGTATACTAGTGGTTACTTAGGGTCAGCAACTGGTCCACTGGGACTATAGCTTCTTCCTAATGAATGGACGTAAGGCCTGTAGAACCCGCTAAACTGATGACGCTGGACGTCGGCGCTAATAACTTCCACCCACGTCAGCTTGGAGAAAGACCGCTTCACCCCGATTGGCCAGTGGAGCCGGCACAGGTTCAAGTTCACTTCAACTCTTCTTCCTATTTCCTCATTTGAAACACAGTAGTAGAATGCAGTATACACGCTCCATGTGTATGTAATGTGGGGGTTTTCCACATTAAAAGCCCCAACGTAATCCGCATAAACAGCTAATGTACAGTGTAAACATGTCTTCTAATTTCTTTGAATGCAGAACTTCTTTAAAGAATAATAATGACAAAGAACTTAGAAAAAATAGAAGAAAAAAACAAAACATAGTAAATATAAAAAGATAAATAATATAAATTTGTTCCAGGTTAAAAATTCATCTGCTAGATACTAAGAAGTGGTTTCTCTGTGTTTTAGATTTATTCACTATCAAACTACTGTTGATGTCTCTGTGTCTCAGTCATCCAGGTCATCGTAGTCTAAGGAGCTTGGAAAGAAAAGCGTCTGTGATTAGGTAGAGGATCATTAGGGGGTCCATTGTCCCTCTTGGGGGGATACTCCCACAGGGCTTAACTCTGGGACTCTCCAGCATGTGACCTTAGAACTGAAGAAGCTTCTCTGATGAGAGGTGAAACGTCTTCAAACAACTTAAAGAAGTCCAGACACTGTTCTTTTCCAAGCTCCTTAGACTACTGTTGATACCACAAATGCTCCTAAATTTTAAAGTAATCACTAACAAACTTTTTAAAAAAAACCCCAGGGAGATCAAGTGTCTCTGTAATGCCTCTGGCAACTTTTTACTGAGTTTGAATCCACTTCAAACTACAATCAAACTACTTGGATTCACTGCAAATAATTGTCCTCAGTGATCACCTTTATTACATGCTTAAACACTTCTTTCCTGATGTTACTGCCCCCCAACATCGGCTGCCCAATAAAAAGAGTATGAGGGCTCACTGACTGATTTGATAAGTTTGAAAAATTATGTAAATCACATGTTATGTCTTCTGACTTATTTTCGCAGTAACTTCCACAGGACATTTACTGCCAAAGAGCACACAGGGGATTTGACATTATAGCCAAACACCCTACAGAGACACCTTGTGTTGGGTTTTCCTTTAATTTGCCACATTTCTATATAGCATTATGCACAGTGAAAGTCAAATGTTCAAGTCAAGCTGCAATAAGCAAAATACATTTTTAATGTGGCAGGACATTAGGATTAGAGTTTCCAATGGAGCTTCTTGAAAACATGGAGACCTAAAGTATTAAAGACTGTTAGAATAGCTTTAAGTACAATCTATAGTTTCCTTAATCTCTAAATTTGTAAAATTAAATAACATCGAGTATCATTGGATTTGAAAAAATATCACAACACTCGGTGCCAAACTTTAATTTGACAATGTCTAAAAACTTTCTGGCATGATTACTCTCATAATTGGCTGAAAGTAACCCTCTTTCAGGTTAATGAAGATGTTTCACCTCTCATCTGAAAATGCTCTGGTCAGAACTGAAGAAGCCTCTAAGATGAGAGGTGAGAAACAAGAACCCAAAAAAGACATCCAGTTACCTTCGACTCAAGTGCTTGAGACTATCATGACCTGGATGACTGAGAACCTACACAGCCGTATTAAAAAATAATAATAATAATTTGTCTTCAAATCGAACTGAAATGTCAAAGAAACTATTTGTGCAAAAAATGATATCTGGTTGATACTTGGTGACTTTCCAGTGAAGAAAATGTAAAACATATAAATGAGAATCCAAAACAACAAACAAACAAAAAAACAGTAGTTGCGTGTATATGTATCAGGTTATATGTATTTAAATTAAAACAGTAAACTTCAACTTGGTTGGCATGAGGAAAAAACAAATGCCTAAGCCACTCCGTATGAAACAGACAAGACATGAGAGAAACGGAGCTCTCATAGCTCATAATGATTTTGCACACATAAATTAAGGTAACAATACATATAACAGATGTTATACAACAAATAAAACTCAAATTTAAACACAATTCCTCTTTGGTTTTTATGTGTGATACTACTACAGATGACAGAAATCCACAAAGCTGCTTTTATAAGTGAAACTAGGCTACTTAATAGGCAGATCAAAATAAACATGCCATCTCGTCCACCTCTATAAAAATAAAGTCTCTAAAGGCTGAAAGATGTCAACTGCATTTTAAACACAGACGTGAGTGGGGTTTCTTTTCAGTAGAAAGTTGTTGAATGAAAACAACTTGTGTAAAACCTGAATTCAAGTTTTGCCCGACAGGAATGTGAAAACTCCTTGATCTATCCATTTACCATTGGCTTTGATGAAAATACTAACAATATGTGTTCACATTAGCAAGCTTCCACTTGAGTTTCTTATGGCACACTGAGACCTTGGTTTAAGTGGTAGCTGCCACAGAGCCTTTCTTGTCAGAGAAGAAGCTCTTCAGCATCATGACTTGACCGATGCCGATGACAAACAACAGGACGGTTTCTCCGATGGACCAGTAGGTGACGCGCTCCAGCAGGTGCTCTGCTTTTGTGCGATCCTGCGCCTCTCTCAGCCTGTACCATGTCTGCGAGTCAGCCACCACCTTCAGGATCTCATGAATGGCGACGCAAGACGACTCCAACTGATAACAGAAAGATTAATGGAAATTCATCAATATGTACAGTAGAAGGTGGATCGCACAGATCAGAGTCACATAAACTCACTATACATTTGACCCTAGAGGTCTCAGTACTTGAATTAAAGAGTAGTAACACTATGCTATCCTATAGTCTGATATGAAATGCATAGTCACAACTCTTAACAATAAACACTCAACCTCTTTATTTATTTTATATATAATTTTATATTTATTTTACTTTATTATATTTAAGATATCTGTTATGTCATACTATATTCTACTGACCTACATACCATTCTACTTATTTAGGTTATTTTTGATACATTTCTTGAGATTAACAACAAATGCTGGTTTTAAGTTGCATCAAAAGAATTTCCAAACTCTTTTGAGAAATAAAGTATGGCTTATCAGATGTAACACTCTGTGTTTTGAGAAGCAGCAATGCTGTCAAACTGTTGACATTTCCTCTTTTGGGTGATCTGTGTAATTCCAGGAACGGAGAGTGCATTTAAATACAATATTTCCTTGTGAGCTTAATGTGAATAACTCTTGCACCACCTTGTGGACATTATATAAACACCTTTAAAGCAGCAAAAATACTATACCAATTTTAGATTACTTGTTATCACCTTACTAAACATAACTGATATGTCTGTACTCATTTTTCATGTCAAAATACATCCTGTTTTTTCTGATTCAAATCATGATACAAACGTCTGTGATATGACATTGCAGTTCTGTCTTCTCAAGGCATGCTTGTCTAATTGAAGGCAGCAATGTTTAAACATTGATAAGGTAATAAATTAGCTATCAAGTAATCCAGCATGTTCTTAAAAAAAAACAAACAAACTGCACCTGACACACTGAAAGCACCGTGTTCATTACTGACCTGAGTCAGAGCTGTGGTTCTTTTCATGCTGTCCAGAATGGGTTCCTCATTCCCGTGGCGGAAGTCCAGATACACTACTTTGTGTGTAAAAGTGGAGAATTCATTGCTGAAGCAAACCTTGTAGACTCCCTTCATAGTTGTGGTGTGAGAGAAGCTGTCATACTGCTTCTTCTTCTCATTATACAAGGCATTGTCATGAGGATCTGTGACGAAGCAGTCCACATCATAGTTGCCCCCTGAAATAACCTAAGAGAAAATAAAACATCTATAGAAGGAAAGAAAGTTGCAACGTTGTGTCGCTGTTAAATATATTGAAGTTATTGGATGTGGCTGTGTGTGTGTGTGCCAGCTGTTCCTCTGGGAATTATTGGGCTTCTCTTTAAAAGTCTTTATCTTGAAACGGAAAATAATCTGAGATAACATATGTTTTCAATTGATTGAAAAAAAACGGAGCCAAATTTAAGTAAATCAAAATATGCATTCTGCACTATTTTACGATTAATAGACAATTATAAATTTGTTCTTGATTTCTGGAAGCCGGAGAAAAAAACTTCAGCCTAAAAATTAGTCTGACAGCATCTGCTAAGTGCACACACTGACGTGATGGAGCTCTCAGAGGAACTTACTTGAAAGTCTATGTCAAACTTCACGTCTTTCTCCAGCTCCTCGTAGAAACACTGCTTGTCATTGTCAGGCAGTTCAAATGTGATCTCAGTCCCAGACACCACACATGCACCACACAATAGCAGCAAACAGGTGAGTGACAAATACAACATCGCGACAACAAAGAGAAGGTGCAGGCAGACAGACTATTCTTCACTATTCAACAATGATGTTAACAGTTTGTAGTTCTGACGTGGCGCGAGCATGAAGAACTTCCGGGACACTGTTGTTTAGTTTTTTTATTTGAGAAAAAAAAATTCAACTTCTTCCAGACGTAATATAAAGACAGACAAGACCCAATTTAAGCTTTTAACGCAATTTAAAATATTTTAACACAAGTTTAGACCCACAAAGCGAAGAAATACGCTTAACCAGCTGTACAGAGATTTTAACCAATAACAGAGCATTACAACAGGTTTCCCCCTTTCAAAATAAGGGCACGGGATTAACAAAAGAAGCTGGAAACGAACAGACAAACGAATTTTAATAAATAAGGGAAGTCAAGTGAATTTTGAGTTCCAAAGTAGATTAATTTGCATGCAAAATTATTACTATATATTATTACTTGCACCAGTAAAGGTTTTTAGTAAAATTATATTTTCATGGCACAAATGTACTTAATCAGTAGTTAAATCATTCACTAATGTTCAAAGGTTCTAAGATGACTACCAGTTTAATTTCATCTGTTTCTACTAATGACAGTGTTACGTCAAATTATTAATTAAAATTGTATAAATCTGTTTTACATGGTGTTTTAATTTGAAAATCCCTGTGAGAGATGTCTGACGAGGCAAGCAGTATTTCTATACCTTATGCTATAGTGGGAGTAACTCACTGCAAACAGATGCTCATAATTCAGTACACGGTGTATCCTGAGCATATAATAGTACTATTACTACCATAAAAACAAACAAACAAAAATAAATCATAACAAAGTAATACACAACCAAGGTTCTACTTTGCAATGCATATTTAAAAATGTATTTTACCTGACATTTAGAGCATGCCTGCACAAGCTGAATGGCTGCTTTAAGTAAACTCTTTAGTACATGAGTCAGCAAGCTGCCGCATTACGCCCTATTGTCTCTTGATGGGTGTGTTTTGCGTGGCATTCTATTACACAAGCACGCTGCACAGAACTCCTATGGTCTGATCTTTGATATATATTACCAGATACATTTCCCCACAATGCCAAAACAAACATTCACTGTACTTGAAAGCTTAAACAAACCCCAAACCAAAACCAAATAACACACAACCAACAAAAACAAACAAACAAACAAACAAACAAACAAACAAAAAAACCCCAAGTATGTCGTACATGACAGCAAGGAAATACACATATTTAAACCAATGACTGTTTTCTACAGTCATTGATTTAAATCATTGATTTAAACCAATGATTGAAGCTTATTCTGAAAAATCTCCTTTAAGTTCCACCACGCCCTCCACTTCCGGCTAGTTTATCGTTACAAATACGAAACGGGAAACCACGTATTTGTCGTTTTCGCCGTTGTTTGTGGTAGCTGACGTAAAGTTCCTTCCACAAAAACAGATCGTTAACTGCAAGTCTGCAGCAATATTAAAATTTCAGCTTCTTATATAAGTTCCAGAATTGCTTAAACAATGCAAAACTACGCAGAGGCTGTTAAGGACTTCACCGAGAGACATGCAACTTGCCTCACGGTTGTCTTTGTTGCAGGTAAGCCTAATTCTTTATTAAATGCATACTGTTTAAGCTTTGTTAACTTGCACATTTAGTAGGATTTCTGATACGGTAATGAAAGGAGATCAGGTAAGCACTTTGTTCTGTCATGACAGATTATTGCTGTTGCTCGTAGGTGTGAAATTGTAGAAATATATAACAGTATGTAGCTGCTTGATTTAGCTTAGAATAAACATAAGAGTAAAAGGTAGTAAAAGGTCAAATGGAAAGTCTTCAGAACATTCTCTTACACCCTGTTCATAGCATAAATATCTTTTTTGTCAGGGGTAGGCGTGCTGGCCTTCCGCAGATGGATGGCAGGAGCAGTGTGTCGGAGCAAGGCCAGGCTGGAAGGGAAAACAGTCCTCATCACTGGAGCCAACACTGGTATTGGGAAAGAGACAGCCCTGGACATGGCCCAGAGAGGTAAGACCCTCCATGTTTGTTTGTTAAAGAAAAGTACAGAAAAACAAAAACATATGCAAAGGCTGTGTCTCACATCCTGTATATGGGTGTAGGTCAGGGGTGTCAAATCCTCAGGCCAGAATTGGTTTGACTTCTTTGGTGAAGGATGGCATAAATTTTAACCTTAACTCTAAACTGCATCATCATAGGTTTTACAGCCTATGATGTCATGCTACACTAGAACAATGAATTAATTTATATACAGTTATATGACAGAAAAGTTCATATTTTTCAAAGTCTGCTCTAGAATTGTTATTTTTTTAAGAGTGGGTCCACAGTAAGAAAACAAAGAAAACAGACAATTTTCTGTTATTTAACAAAAACCTTCTGCACAATGAGCTACCAGAAGTTTTTCTGTATTTTCGCAACTTATTTCAGTTTAAGCTGGATTTCTATTGTGTAGAAAAAAGACACACTGTTATAATTGCGCTACTTTTTCTCATATTAAAATAGCACCAGGATTAAATATGCAGATAAACATCTGTACAGTGTCAGACAGAGGAGATTCACTGGTCTAAACCACTTAAGTGGAATGTATGTGGCCCGTGGTGTAAAATGAGTTTGAAATCCTTGGTTTTTATATCAGCCGTCTGGAACCATGAATTCTGCTTTCCGGCCATCAATCTGTCCCTGAAGTTCAAGGTCACTTGGGTTATACAGCAGAGCAGTGATGCAGAACACATCAGAAAGTCTACTTCTGAATGGCTTCAAAAAATAAAGTAATAAAAAGATAAGGTTTTAGAGTGCCCTAGTCAAAATCCAGACTTAAATATGATTAATATAGTTTGACATTACCTTAAACACGCCATTCATGCACGAAAACGCTCCATATAAAATAAGAGTTTGCCCTTATATTTGGATATTGACTCCTAAGAGTTACTTAACTTAAAATTAATAGAAGGGTTTTGCTGAGATTTTTTATTTTATTTTATTTTTTACATTTTTTAAATTAAATGAAGCACTGCCAAAAATGATTTGATTAAATCTCTATATAGTTGCGTAAAAAGAAACCATATCTACAGTCCTGTTTTGGACATTTGGTACTTAATGAAGAATATTATATAATAACCATTCAGTAACAACCAAGAAATGATAGAATATTAAATAAGTATCAATGACAGTAGGTAAAAATAAATCTGTAACCTCAACTAGTACTTTGGTTGCACATCCTCTGGTGTTTACATGTAAATATGAGTTGCTTTTGTATGTTTTTTCTTTTTCTCCAAGGGGCCAGAGTGATCCTGGCCTGCAGGGACATGACTAAAGCCCGTATTGCAGCAGATGAGATCCGTCAGAAGAGTGGGAATGGCAATGTGGTGGTAAAGAAGCTTGATCTGGCCTCACTACAGTCTGTCAGAGACTTAGCCAAAGATGTGGAAAAGAATGAGGAGCGCTTAGACATCCTCATTAACAATGCAGGTATTGCAGCAGTTCTACCTGTTTTTTTTAATGTCTCTGTAAAGCACTTTAAATCACCTTGCTGTTGAAATGTGCTACATAAATAAACTTGCCTTGCCTTACCTTAGTCCAGACCTTCCCAAAGTGTGGGGCCCGCCCCATGGCAGGGGGGGCGTGGTATGAAAAGGAAAAAAATAAAACGCTTGGTCACTGCTATCATGGGGAGCCCACAGAAAAGCAAAGCAGGAGATGAAGCATAGCTGAATATGTTTCTAAACCAACTTCATTCTAAGCCAAAGGCTAGAAAAT